GGAGAGTACAGTTAAAGGCAACATTCTTGACCATTTCTGTCAAAAGCAATTAAAAGAAATAATCTTTCTTTCTAATTCCATTGTTTATTTATTTCCTGGGTGAATGGTTCAACCATTATTAAGTACCTACTATGTGCCAAGAATGATTCACATGCTGGGTTTCATTGAGTCCCCACAGCAGTCCTAAAATATGTATACAATCTCATCTCTTTTCTAGAGATGAGGAATCTGGAGACCAAAGTAAAATGCTCAAAATCACAAAGGTGTTAAGTCATGAGACTGGGATTCAAACCCAAGCTTTGGACATCATACCCAACATTTCCCCCCAAAGCTGGAGCCTTGAAAATTGAAATGACCTTCATGTTTTTATCTGTTTCCTTCACCTGCCCAAATTAAACATTAGTTTCCTGACCTAAGTTTCATGAAACGGGAAAGAACAGGAAATGATTCCATAATTTCATGTCCATAAAGAGGGCCTACTTTAGATGTTTCTAAGCAAGTTCCCAGAATCTTAGCCATTGAGGATGATACCATCAGACATACATTTTTCTTTTCTTTTTTTTTTTTTTTTTTTGCACTGGGGATTGAACTCAGGGTCCTTAACCCCTGAGCCACATCCCCATTATAAGACAGGGTCTTACTAAGTTGTTTAGGGCTTTGCTAAGTTGCTGAGGCTGGCTTTGAATTTGTGATCTTCCTGCCTCATCCTCCTGAACTGCTGGAATCACAAGCATGCGCCACCACGCCCAGCAGACATCCCCATTTGACAGAAGAGTAAACTGAAGCTCCTTTTTTAAAAATCTGTTTTTTAGAATTTAGTTATTTTTATTTTTATTAACATTAATTATACATATTAATGAAATTCAGTATGACATTTCAATCAATGCATACAGTGTGCACTGAAAAAATAATGAGGGCTACAAGTCTTGAGAACAGAGTTCTAAGTTGGATTTCAACTCTGTTACAAACTCACTGTTGTTTCCTAGGGTACTTCTCTTGTTCTCTGAGGCTTCTCTTCATTTGTGCAATACAGAGATAATAACAGGAACCCATAAATTAGGGTCCAATGAAAAAACACAGCCCAAGAGCTTAGCATCCAGCTTTTTATGTAGTAAGTGCCTAGAAGTGCTGCCTCCTAATGTTAACATTGACCTGATGTAGAAGAACCAAAACTCTCCTTCCAAACCCCAGTGACTTTTCGTCTAATCCAAGTCCCCTTACCCCTCTCTTTCCTGCCCCTTCCCTCTGGCATTAGCCATTCTCAGATCTCAGCCTCCTGGGAAGATGGACTGGTTCTGTTTCCACTCTTTGACCTCTTTGGTTTTGTTTACATCTCCTTAAGTCAAAACAAGGCAGCCACAGCACTCAGATTCTCCTCCAAAATATAGCTGCATCTGCTTCAGAAGCATGGACAAAGAAAGGGAGCTTGGTTCCTTAAAGACACAGTCTCCCCAGGTCAGAGGGTGTGGTAGAGGGAAAGGAAGAAAAACAGAAGGCTTGAGGGGCCAGGAAGCAAGGGAAACCAAAGAATTTCCCTTGTCCAATGAGCCCCTTATAGCCTTTTAAACCCTGATCTGTGGTTGAAACCCACCCCAGCTTGGAAAGCCATGGCAATAGAGATGGGGGGAGTGTGGATGCAAACCAAGTGTCAAGGTTTGTGGAGTCCTGGGTCACAGGTCTAAGACCCCTCCAGACCTGACTCTTCAAGCTGTGGGTTGCAAACCAGATATGCTCTCGCTGTGATAGACTGGCAGATAGAGGTTTCTACCCATTGAAGGGCCTCCTAGCCTCACCACATCCCCAACCCTGAAAGCCTAGCTTGACTTTGAGAGGCCCTTTAAACTCAGACGTGCAGAGTCAAAGGGGAATTTGATTTATCTAAAGCAATCCCCACCTCCTTTTGTGGTGCTGGAGATTGTGCATGTTAGGCTACATCCCCAATCTACTTTGTTTTTTATTTTAAGACATGGTCTTCCTAAATTGCCTATGCTGTCCTCAAACTTGCTATCCTACATCAGCCACCTGAGTAGCTAAAATTATAGGCATTTGCCATCATGCCCAGCTTACCCATCATCATGCAAGAGGGAGCACATCACTTCCCAGGAAGTCCTTTTCACTTTTACTGGGAAATAGATAAGGCAAGTTGTACCAGACTGCTAGCAGATATTTGACAAATACTAGATGTAGTAGACTCTAGTTTCCAAAGATGGCTGCAACACGTAATTGGTCCTCAGTATCCATGGATTCCATATCCAGGGATTCAACCAACCATGAATTGAAAATATTTGGGGGGAAATTGCCACTATACTGAACATAGACAGTTTTATTCCTTGTCGCTGTGCCCTATACAATACAGCCTAACAACTATTTACTAGCATTTACATTGCATTAGGTTTTAGAAGTAATCTAGAGATGATTTAAAGTTATTCAGGAAGATGTGCATGGGTTATATACAAATACTACACCCACCATTTTATAAAAGGACTTGAGCATCCCCAGATTTTGGTATCAACAGGGGGTGCTGGAACCAATTTCCTGCAGATATGGAGGAACAAATATATATATCTCCTATCCCTCTTGCCCTATTCAGCATGATGTTGATGCTCCTTTGAGAGGTGGTAGTGACGATAAAGGGTTTATGTACCTTCTCTTTTATTAGTTGTAGATAGACATAATAACTGTATTTTATTTATTTATTTTTTATGTGGTGCTGAGGATCAAACCCAGTGCCTCACTGTGCTCTATGCAAGCTCTCAGCCACTGAGCCCCCACCCCAGCCCTGTTCCTTCTCTTAAACCTAGATGACCCTTGCACCTATCCCCATCAGAGGATTTGAGAGGATGCAATGTGGGTGGTGCTGCTTGACTTCAGGGAGTAGGTCATAAAAGGCAAAAGAGTTTCTGCCTGGCTTCTGCTCTTTCTCAGGAGGCTTCTCTTGGGAATCAGGCAACCATAATGTCAGGAAGCCCAGGCCACAGGGAAAGGTCACATGGGTCTGGCTAGCTAAGGCCTTAGCCAATGGCTGGCATCAAAGCTCAGAATGACAATGATGAGTGAATGAGTGTTTGGATGCTTCCAGCACCCAGCTTTTGAGTTGCCCCAGCTGAAATCTGAGGCCTGGTGCAACAGAAATGAGCTGGAGGTGACCAGTCCCCATCTAACATTCCCTGCTCACAGAATAAACGTCTTGCAGCTACTGTGTATTTGGGGATGGTTTGTTACACAGCCTAGTAACTGTGACAGTACTGGAATTAAATTGGAATGTTTGCTGTTTCCCAATCAAACCCAGCCCTCACTGGTCTTCTCTAAATCTACAGACTTTGAAACACGTCCTCCTCACCTGGTGCCCGCAGCTCTGTGCCCGCCTCCTCTCCCCTTCTTACTCCCCCTCCAAAAGGCAGCATCCTCAACACCCATGTGGCTTTGGCAAGTTACTGCCTGAAAAATCATTTGAATCCTCCCCATTTCAGAGCTCTGAAGAAACCTGCTTTTCCTGGTTCCTCACTGCAGGTCCAAGAGTGTCCCTGTGAAGGAGCTTTCTCTGGGTGTGGGTGACCCAGTGCTGAGGTGCTCAGCTGCCCTCCAAGACAGGGAGGGAAGGTGCAGACCAATCCTCCTCCCCCTACTCTCAGCTCCCATAAAGGTTCACGCTCAGCTTGCTCCTCATACTTGACTTGACTTATGAGGTCCCTCTAACCTCCGGTGCGAGGAGACATCGATTCTCACAAAGGTCATTATCTCCTACTCTGGCTCCCCCACCCACCTCCAGCTCCATCTCTAGGCAGGCTTTCCTGGAACAGGATGGAGGGAGGCACCCTTCCCTACCCCCTCGGCCTGGGGAGCCGACCACTCCAGAGCCTGGGCTGCAGAGGAGGTGCCTTGGGAGCCCAGGCCCGTCAATCACAGAGGCGACCATCACTGAATTGCAGGCCATTAGGCGGGAGGCCGGCGCCCTGCTCACTCACCAGGCAGTCATCGGCAGGATGTTAGCCGATCACAGGGCGGCCATTCTTATGATTTATTCAAATACTCATTACAGTCAATCTATTTTTACACAGAGGTGAAGATGTGCGCTGATAACGGTTAATCATTTATAATTCCATGGACTGGTTGGAAGCCAATGTACTATCAAAGTCACAGCAGCAGCAGCAGCTTAGTCGCAGGTAGTCCTGGAAGCAGGGTGGAAGAGCCATGCCTGCCCTGGACAACCCAGCCACACAACTGATGGTCACCAAGTGGCAACCAGGTTGAGGGTGCAGTGTGCACACAAAGTGGGATTCCAGACTTCACCCTCTTAGAGCTCACAGCCTTGCTGGAGAGAACACAGTAAAGTGCTGTCCAGAGGAGTGAGCAATGGTGAATGCTGCAGAATGTCAGAAGAGGAAAAATCACTTCTAGCTGGGTTACCAAAAAGGACTCCACTAAGAAGGCTGGAAAGTGGCCAGGCCCTACAGGTGAGCAAATTCTTGCCAAGTTGGGGGGACCCATAAGCCTGTCTGCAGTGGAGCTCTTATTGGAAGATGAAAGGGAAATGCTCAGTATTATTTCCTTTATCCTCCTTCACACCTCCCCAGAAATAACCAGATGCAAAAGCAAGTCTGGGTTATGAACTTGGTCCAGTTTGGAGACTGATGTTACCTCTTCCTCCTTTTGCTGACCCTGCAAACTCAGCCTATAGGCAGTAGTGGCTGAGGTCTGGCTTGGCCTTACAAAAAACTCAAGAGCTTCCTTCCCCAGCTCTCATGACACACGTAACACATCAAGTCCACCTTAATGCCCAATCAATACAGTCTAATTAAATAGCATGTCATATTACAGGGCTTCTTTGTCACATTCAGACATAATCTAATTAGAACTCCACTGTATTTTACATTCTGACTAGCTCATTGTTGAGTGTTTCTCTTGCACATTGCGTGGCTGTTAAAGATCAGGTCCAGGGCTGGTGTTGAACCCATAACCTTATTGAGTCAGCATGGAAAATGCCAATCAAAGTTACTTACAGTTCAGAGCCCCTTTTCTAGTGAGCAGCATGGAGGACAGAGAGCTTCAGGGTCCTGCTCCAGACTTCACCTGCCAATAAAAGAAAACATCTTTATAGACTGTATGAGATTCTGCTGGGGTGAGAGCAAGAGGGGATGGGGTTGACCCAGAGGTGGATCTGCTCAAGAGCAAATCTGGAGCTGGCAACTCTCCTACAGCGCTGAGTGGTAAAGTTTTCTGGCAAAGGACTCCTGGTGCAAAAGGATTATGGTTTTAAGAGCTAACCAAAACAGAGAAACTGGATCATACCCTCCTCTGGGTGCTCGGTGCCTCAATTTCTTTTGAGTTTCTCTCCTTGCCCTAAAGAAATCCCAGAGAAAAGAGGGTTCAGAGCTGTTGAGTACCCCAAGCTGTCCAAGGCAATAGTCATTACTGGAGCTTCTCAACTGATTAAAGATCCTATCCAGGGGGACAGAGCTGAGGGGTCCCTCAAAATCACACAACCTAGACAGGGAATGCTGCACAGAGCAAACAAACGACGAAACTGATCCTGTTATGATCCTGGTATTTATGGTGGGAAAATGAAAGCCTGGTGGCAGGAGGAACTTTCAGGTAAAATGAAGAGTCCAGGTGGGTGGGAAGGCAAATGTGCATGGCAAAGAATTATGGGAACAATATGGAAAAATCAAAACCCTGACTACTTTTAATTCTCTTCTTGGGATAAAACAATAATTAAAAGGCTGGGGATGTGGCTCAAGCAGTAGCGCACTCGCCTGGCATGTGTGCGGCCCGGGTTCGATCCTCAGCACCACATACAAACAAAGATGTTGTGTCGGCCGAAAACTAAAAAATTAAAATTCTCTCTCTCTCTCTCTCTCTCTCTCTCTCTCTCTCTCTCTCTCTTAAAAAAAAAACAATAATTACAAAAAAGTACGGGTTAATAGGTATCTGCTCCATGATCTAAACTTGCTAGGAATAAAATCTATAGGTCCTACTAGAAAAACATTGCTGTCACATCACTGGGGAAATAAGATTATCCATCTGAAACAATACCAGACCAGACATCACTATTAAAAAGTTGTGCTTGGGGCTGGGATTGTGGCTCAGCGGTAGAGCACTCGCCTAGCACAGGCGGGACCTGCGGATTCGATTCTCAGCACCACATTAAAAAAAATAAAGGCATTATGTTGTGACCATCTAAAAAAAAGATTCTCTCTCTCTCTCTCTTTAAAAAAAAAAAAGTTGAGCTAGGATGGATGCAGTGGCACAAGCCTATAATCCCAGTGGGTTGGGAGGTTGAAGAGGATGATTACACATTCAAGGTCAGCCTCAGCAACTTAGACCCTTCAGCAACTTAGTGACACCCTGTCTCAAAGTAAAAGAAAATTTAAAAGGACAAAAGGTAAAGTGGTAAAGGTAAAGATGCTCAGTGGTAAGGTATCCGTGGGTTAGATCCCCTGTACCAAAACATAAATTATAAAAATAGAAGTTGTCGGGGCTAGGCTGTGGTTCAGCAGTAGAGCCCTTGCCTGACATGTGTGAGGCACTGGGTTCGATGCTCAGCACCGCATATAAATAAATGATCAAAATAAAGGCCCATTTAAAAAAAATAAAGGAATCTCTTTTAAAAAAAATAGAAGCTGTGCTAAACTGCACGATAGAGACAATTGTCTCTTTCTCTCTCCATAGAGAAATGAAGTTGGTGGGAATTGAAGCCATTAAGAGAATTTTTATGGGGAAGTAGAATTTAAGTGGGACCTTGGAAGACTGGGGTAGGAGGACTTGGCTGGAGAAAGGGAGGCAGAGGGTTGCTGGTAGAGAGAGTTTGAATGTTGACTGCCCCTGCAAACCAATGGCCCGTGTGTTAAAGGCTTGGTTTCCAATGTGGGACTATGTGAGGTGTAGAAGCTCTAAGAGATGAGGACTAGTGGGAGGTTTTTAGGTCACTGGAAGTCCTTGAAGATATTGTGGGACTGTGGTTTCTTTCTCCTTGTCTTCTGCTGCCCTGTCATCAGGTGAGTGGTGTTGTTCCACCATGCACTCCCACCATGGTGTTCTGCCTTACCATAGGCCCAAAGCAAAGGGGCCAACCAACCATAAAGTGGAACCTCCGAAACTTAGGGCCAAAATAAACCTTTCTCTTTATAAGTCGATTGTCTCAGGTATTTTACTATGGTAACAGAAAACTGACACAGAGGACATGACAAAGAAGGGGAGCAACCTGAGCAAAGGCAAGTGGGGAAAGCATGGAGGCCCCGTGACAGCACAGAGATTGGTATATCTGAAATATAGCAGAGAAAGAAATAATCCCAGTTAAGAAAGAATGGCCAGAGAATCCAGGACTCCAAGCATCAAGCCAGAGAAATCAGTCTGGGCTATGAGGTCCTAGAATTACTTGAGGTTTTTCCATAAGGAAACTGTAAGATGTAGTGCCCCTCACCTGCACCCTTTAGTATTTCTCCTTTAAATAAGACAAGAGAGAGAGATCTTGGAAGAAGGTGGAATTTCAATGAGAAGATTTAGGTATGGGATCAAGCTTAGTGGTGCATGCCCATAATCCCAGCTACTCAGGAGATTGAGGCTGCAGGATTGAGAGTTTGAGGTCAACCTGATGAACTTAGCAAGATCTTGGCCCCCACAAAATAAAGTTTCAGACATAAGATATAGTGAAATGTGCTCCTGGAAATAAATTGTCACTCTTTTCCATAATGATATCCTCCAAGCAAAAGCTCTTCCTCTGAATCTGTTTACTAACGCCTGCATGATGAAGGTTCTCTGTTCATAGAGGTAACTCACAGACAAAGCCAGGCCACCAACTTGAGTAATTGAGGAAAAGTGCCATTTCTTATGCATCATTATGTCCCCAGAACCTAGCAGAGTGCCCAGCATGAGTCATGTTCTGAGTAAATATCTATTGAAATGCTCCAACCAGGATCTATAACCAGCACCTCAGAACCAGCCCTGGGTTGGCAATGGGTTCCAACTGTGTCATTCTCAACCACTCACTTATTACTACTGAGCACTGCATGCACTCAGTACACAAACCTCTATGTGAAATTACATGGAGCTGTTTGCCCTGTCTCCACCTTCTGTGACTGTCCACCTGAGACACCAGCATCTTGGAAGAAGATATGGCAGCCTTTCTATTTGCACATGACACAAAAAGGGAAACTCCTGTGCTGGAGGGATGGATTCAAGAATCAAAAAGCTTTGAACATGCTGAAGGAGGGACCAAAACTAAAAAGTCCATTTTTTTCTTTACCATTTTTAATTTCTTATATAATAATATCGTGACAACCACGAATGAAATAATTTTGAAAGTAAGGAACAATTGTCCACAATCTCACTCATACCCATCCAATTATATTCTATGTCCACATGCAAATCCACCTTTTTCACAAAATCGTAGCAAAAGATTTGACGTGTGTGTGTGTGTGTATACACACACACCAAACCTGCCTCTCGTATTCAAAAATTGCAGATGGGCATGGTGCCTACACCCACAACCCTAGCTATTCAGGAGGTTGAAGGAGGAAGATTCTAAGTTCAAGATCAGCCTGGGTAATTTAGTGAGACCTGTCTAAAAATTTTTTAAAAAATAAATAAAAAGAGTTGTGTATGTAACTCAGTGATAGAGCATTCCTGGGTTCAATCCCCAGTACTGGAAAAAAATAATGCTAGAAAAGGTTGGCCTGATTGAGGGGGAAAAAAAAACTGAGTTATTTGAGTTAAATGCAACCCAGGATATGGAATTGCTGCATCTCATTAAATGTGACCTTGGGTTGCACTAATAGCAATACAGTGTCCAAATTGAGGGCATGGATGATCTCCCCCACTTTGGACTTGTCAACCCATATTAGTTCTACATGCAGTTCTGACATATTTGAGAGCAATGAGTAGAAAAGTGAGGTGGAGAAGCTGTCCAGTTGTTAAATTGTGTGTAAATTCTAGTGGTTAAAAGTGTAAGATCTGGAATCATATTGTAAGTCCCATCTTGACCAAGGACAAGCTCCTTTACTCCTCCGTGCCTTAGTTTTTCATCTGTAAAATAGGCCTAATGAAAGTGCACTTCTGGGCTGGTAGCTCAGTGGTAGAGCACTTGCCTAGCGAGCATAGGCCCACGGTTCGATTTCCAGCAACACACACACAGAATAAAAAGAAAAAAGTTTAATTTACTAGAGTGGTTGTAAGCATTGAATGACCTCATATAATCTAAGATGCTTATAATACTGAGGACCTCACACAGAATAAGCATTCACTAAATGCCTGCTATTATTATTGCTTTCATTATTAGGAGGCTGTGAGGTAGAAAACATGGTAGAAGTAACTACAGGGGTATCTTCATTTGTCCTTCTGTAATATTACCTATTGGTCCTAACTGTATTGACTAAAGCAATGTGTTCCCTCTTTCTCATGGTAGTTCTCCAAATATTTGAAGAAACTATGTGAATGAGGGACTGCAATATTCTAAAAGGTAAGATTGAGACTAACTGTGGACCTTAGAGAAGGCCAATCTTTAGTTGAACAGAAGAAGGAATACTCTGGCAATAAGAATTATCAAATGGGCTGGGAATGTGGTTCAATGGTAGAGAGTTTCCCTGGCATGTGTGAGTCCTTGGTTCCAACCCCAACCCTGGAGGGAAAAAAAAAAAAAAGAACCATTGAAAATTGAGTCATGATTCCTGGAAAAGTAGTGAACTTCCAATATGGGAAGGATAATCCTGCATTGGGTAAGAAGTTACTTCATTGCATCATTTCCCAGATTTGGATTTCAGTCATTAGTAAAATGCATTCAACGTTGGATAGGGTTGATAAAAGTTAGATTTTGATAAAACATTAATAGTGTCTTCTTTTATCATCATTCATAAAGTTCTTCAACCCCCAAAATGAGGACAAAAACATGACAATGAAGAGCCATCCCTTTACCAGGTGTGGTGACACATGTCTGTAACCCCAGCAATTTGAGAGGCTGAGGTAGGAGGATCACAAGTTCAAGGCCAGCCTCCGCAACTTAGCGAGGCCCGAAGCAACTTAGGGAGACTCTGTATCAAATAAAAAATAAAAAAGGCTGGAGATGTGTCTCAATGGCA